CGTCAGCATCGGAAATTTTGTAGTATATTTTTAGATCATTCTCATACATTACAAAATTGGAGAATCGAAAACATTGAGATATATCATTCATATCAATATTGAATAATAGTGGCCCCAGATGAGATCCTTAAGGCACTCCATAACGATTGTTACTGCTTGACAACAATCAGTTACATAAGAATGAAGCCAATTCAGCAGATTGCCATCTATTCCGACACCCAGCAAGTTTCTGAAGCAAAACAGAGTGATCGATTTTGTCAAACGCCTTTCGAAATGATATCATCGTCAGGTGTCTTGAATGAACTTGTCGACCACCTATATCCCTACACCAGAGTTTGTGAATTTGTTTTCTCGAAAACGGTTCGTTCTATCGAGCTAACAAAAGGGTGTTTTTTTCAATATAACCGAGCATTTTTTCATATTTCATAATGACATTTTGAAATTCTCCAATGCTACCTGTTAAATACATAATGAAAACATTGATATTGTCCTAACGACGCCACTGGTATTGATATCAGCCGAAAAATACTACGAATGTATTTGCTTACTTACACCAGAATATTTCGTATTTTTGTTCAGAGGAAGGAACATTAATTTTTTATTTTAACTTGAATACACTATCTCAAAAAGGAGACGTTTAATGATAAATGTTTATGAAAACTTTTTGAGGAACTTTTCATCCTGAAATAGGTATGAAGGTCTATCATTTGACGATATTTTGTAACCAAAAAGTATGCCATCCTGTGTACAGGGTGCCCGATTTTCGAGCTTCACATTTTCATGCTGAACATTTATCTGCAAGAAAATTCGATGTGTAATTTTCGTTTTTATTTTTTCAAGCGGAAACCAAACGACCTAGACTAGGACATTCTTAAAAATTGGCAAAAAACCATTTTAGCGAAGAGTGCTTCGGAAGGAACGCCAACAGTTTTGTTTTACAAACTGAATTTTGACAGTTCAATTGAATATGCGGACAGAACTGTTGAATTCTTAAGCTTATTCACTTAACACAAGAAGGGTTGCGGAGTGTGTCAGGTATGTTCCCTGGCATGGTAATTTCCAACAACGGAGACATACATTATTTATTGAGAACTATGAAATATTTGATTTTCGAAACTGTATTGATCGATATCGATGAGCTGAGAAGAACCATAATCACCTTTTTCAGGACAAGATAAGAAGACGGGACATCTCGCGAGCTATTCAGAATCTGAGGAAACGCGTAGAATTGTGATTAAACTTTGTTTGGTTTTGCGAGGAATAAACTTCTAGCTCATTACGTCGTTCCTAATTCAAAACCATAGTTTTTAAGTAGATGAGCTTGACGAAAATGTGAACGTTCCAGATCTAAATTCAAAAAAACTGTCGAAATTCAGGCTGTTGACGTTCTTTCCAAAGCACTCTTCACAAAAAAGTTTTCTTTTTCAATTCTGATCAACAGGAAAGATTCGATCATATCGTGTGATACATCATTAAAATCAGAAAAAAAGACTTCAAAAATGTAAAAATCCAATATGGCGCCTGTAAGAAAAAACAAAGTTGTGTGTTGTAACTTTGGCATCAAGAACGTCATGGAAAATACAATGACAGATTCAGATTCCTTGTGAAAAAGTGCCTCAAGAATATCCCAGTCAGAAACGTCTAGGTCTTTTGGTTTCCGCTTAAAAATTAAAAATTTACAATTTTCGTCCAATAATTCAAAAACTAAAAATGACATCAAATTTTTTTACAGATGAATGTTCAGCATGAAAATGCGCAACTTTGCCCTAATTTAACCGACCTCGTATCTCTTATAATAGCTGAGATCCCCATGGTGGAGCTCGAAAAAGGACACCCTGTATACTGAGCTCAGATTCAGATACCGAGGTTCATGAACCTATATCTTTATTCAAATAGGTTGTATTCTACATAGGTACATTTATTGTACACAAAAATAGCATTATCAGTTATCTTATCAAAATGCCACTTGTGATGAGTTATGAAATGATGAATTCTAGTTATGATTTGAATCTGGTTGACACAGGCCGTAGATAGTTTGTTTTTTTTTGGGTTACTTGATAAAACCGGTTGTTGAACCGGTTCAAACCAATTTTTATAGATAACTAAAAAACCGGCCTTTTCTCGAAAATAGTTATTTTTATGCCTAGGCCGCGAAGTAACTTTTCGTGCAATCGTATGCGAAGAGAATACTTAGCGAGGTACTTCGCGTTCTCTACTCTCTACACAGTACGGAAAATACAACTTCACAGCCGTTACCCATGGAAGCGGCCGACAAACCAAAGCCCAATTCCGAATTTGACATTCTACTACGTCAATAGCTCAGATCATATTTTCGTTTTGTCAAGAACTATCGAAATATTTTGTATTCATTCAAAATGTCATTTCAATTATTTAGTTCGATAATTTTGACAATTGCACGAAAAATAGGGTGCATATCATCGGCGAGGCCGTTTCCGGCCGAGGCATGATAATTTTGAAATAACTAAAAGAAAAAAAAATAATACTCTATCTCCGAAACAAAGCATTTCCGGACACAAGTTCATAAAACTTTTTTCTTAAAATTGTCTCAGGAATACTTCATTCGTATATTATGTTACAGCCTGTCCCTGTATATTATGAAAGTATTTCACGGAGTTCGAGGGAGAATTAAGGGAATTATTAGAACTATCGGTCACGCGTCATTAATCCACAAGGAAATTATATTTGACATCATATTGTAGAACCCAAAAGTATACTACTTGACTAATATTGGTCGTAAATAAAGTAGAGTATACTTTTTTTATCTCTTGGAGCGCACGAAAGGAAATCCCTATGATGTTCAAAGAACATCGTGCGTTCCTAGGTAGGATAGAGGCAGGAGGTAGGTATTGGAATTTTTTTTTAACCTCTGGAGATTATATGTTGTTGAGAATACTTCCTCAGGCAATGAATTCCAGAGCCTAGCCGTTCTATGGATGAAGGCGTTTTGATAAAGTGCTGTTCGACATCTTTCGAGGTTGACAACGAAAGGATGTGCTGACTGGGCTTGTCTAGTTCGTCTGACTGGTATTGCTAGTGAAGGGATGATAACAGAGATTTCCGAAGAACATTACTTGCAATAATGGCTATTATTCTCTCGAAATGTTACTCCTTCGCTGCGAACGCGAATCCCTAAATAAAAATATTCGCCACTGATATAGTAGCTATTATTATTGTCTCGTGGTGTAATCTACTCTTAAACTTATATGTTTTATTATTCAATAGGCATAACTCCATAATAGTTCAATATTACCCCTCCGCCACGCTCTTTTAGGCTTTTGTCTAGCAAGAGTGCCAGATTAATATTTGTCAAGGGGAATATAAAGATCCCGCTAGGAAACAGGCAAATGTCTATTAATGATTTTGTCTGTGCCGAAAGTTGGGATACAATATTCGAATAATCGTAGATTCATTGATTTTCAGTAAATTTCAGTTATTTGACTAACTTACTGAAATTTTATTTCCCGTCATTCCGGTATCAGAATCTCTTTGGATGTTTCAACTTTTTCTTTGACCATTATTCAGGCTTGGATTGAAGGTTAATTCCATGGTTAATTCATTACTCGATTGCCGAATCATTGCTTTCTGATTCATGAAAATAATGTGTGTTCTTCTAGCTGAACGTTAAGCACACACAAAACTGATTATGCCATATTCTAAGCCTAATTTTTTGTACTCTGAACATAACAAGACAAAACATTTTCTCCTAGGAATGCAATTTTAGAATATTATGAGTGTCCATTCAGAAAACATTATTCCATGAACATTCTGAAATATTATGTCTCAGAAGCTTCTAGGAATGTACTTTCATAATATTGTTTGCGATCGAAAAATATTCTGTGAATATTCTTTGGAATATTCATCACGCTGGCAGTTTTACAAGTTGTATCAATATTCTGCCGATATTCGTTATTTCTGGATTCCTTGGAATAGTACAGGCTGTCAAAAGAAGTCCAATGGGCGAGTGGACTGATAATGAATTATTGGCATTCAATTACTCCACTGTGTCGTTAGAAACCCAGATTAATTTTTGCAATACTTCTCACACTTTTTTATGTAAATAATACTTCTATGTGTTGTTCAAAATCTTTGAATTCCAGAGCTCATTTCAAACGTAACATCTTGGCCGCCATTTGGCGATACGTCGAATAAATGGTGATGTCAGTGTTTATGCTGTTTCGTTATTGGTCAGATAATCTTCCATTTCCACGGTTGTCAAGTCACCAATAATTATAATCAGGTTACCAAAAATATGTTTGAGTCCTATCGTTGAATAAAATAGAAGGACCTCATGACAATATAGTTCATTCTTGACTCTTTCGAGCTACCAGTATGTCCAAATATTTCTTATTCTCCATAACAAAGTATCATGTGAATGTTGGAGACTTGGCAACATCGTGCTCAATGTCGAGAACTGACAAGACCACGCCCACAAGTCGTGCGCTGGGTTGTCACGTTCAAATAATTATTATCTACACTTTATTATAACAATAAGCCACAAATCATAAGGAATCATTTTGAGACAATTGCATTGTTATTGCTAATTAGGAATATTACCAATACTCAATTGAGAATTTATGAACTATTGAATAACTAATATTTCTGAAGTTTCCAATCGTATTTCACCACATGGCAACTGTGCTATGGTGTGGCCCTACTAACGAAATCATGGCGTCAGTTTTTACTAGCGGTAAAATTTCTAGCCGTTTGAAAGTTACCGTGGCATTATTGATGAGTTTAACACCCGAAAATTGACTGAAAAATTCTCAAAAAATATAAAATTGTCCACTCGCCTATTCTGACCGATGCCCTAAGTAGATAGATAGAAGTCCTTACTCTAAAAAAACATGTCATAAAAATAAGAATAATTGAAATTATGTATGTTCAGTTCTGTATTATAAAATATTTCTAGGTAATGAACTTCAGGCAATGTGATATGATTATAACTCTTGTTGATAACTCATGATTCTGGTGGATTTTAGGTATCTTGAAGGATGCCGACCTATCATCCACATCTGCCAAAAAGGTGAGGCAAGAGCTGGAGGGGATACTCGATGCCAATCTGCAATCCAGAAAGCAGGAAATTGATGATCTTGTGATGGAGTTTGTCAGCTCTAAGCAGGACAAGAAGAAGGGGGGAAAGAAGGGCAAGAAGGAGGACTCTGAGGAAGAGGAGGAACAAGAAGAGGATGAGGAGGACGAGGAAGAAGTAAGCTGACAAAAACTTGATATAGTATATTCTTTTACGAGTGACGAAAGTAACATTTTTTGAATCGAGAAAACAGTTTACCAGCTGAGGCGCACATTGAACTAAATATCTTGAAAAAGCACCATTTGAATTGATAACACATAATAGTTATTTTTGTATCTAGAGCGCGAAATGCTACTTTGGTGATCGAGATCTGATTTTTTTAACGAGGCGTAGCCGAGTTAAAAAAATAAATGAGATGACCAAAGTATTTCGCGCTCGAGTTGCAAACAAAATTTTTTCTACAAACGTCAAAAAATATAGTTCTAAAGTAAAAATATGCTCAACTTGATATAAAAAATAGTGTTGAACTGGCTTGATAGGTCTCCCCTATCCTCCCTAGGTACGCACGATGTTCCACGAACATAATAGGAATTTCCTATCGTGCGCTCCAAGAGAAAAAACAAAGTAATTGTTGAACATTCAGAGATAAATGATTTTGTGGATGTCTGCTCGATTGAGGAACATTAAGTTGAAATATAAATATCTCATTTATTTTACATAACAATGCGCGAAGTAGGTACTTCGCGCACTGTTTTACTTCGCGCATTGTTTTGTGCAAGGAATCATGGTAACCTAGGAAACTGAAAAAAAGTGTCACTTCGCAATTTGTTGTCAATGCGCGAACCTTGTCATTTTTTGACGTTTGTAGAAAAAAGTGCATTTAAACTTTTCAATTGTGCTCGAAACATTTTGGAATTATTTTTCTAGCATTCTATCTAGGTTTCCTAGGAAACACACGTTTGGTTTAAATTTTTCTTCTCAATAAAAAAAACAGATATGAAACAGTCAGAAAGGTTCCATTAAAATAGAAAAAAATCTACAAAGAACTATTTTTTGTGACAACTACTCCACTTGTTTCTGTAATCGGTCCAATAGATACCTCAATGAGTTATCAACAATTTGTGAAAATATAATCCATAATAATTGTCACATCATTTTGTAGAGGATATTAAAAAAATGATTTGTTTTGTTGAATCTTCTGACTTAATTAGGTAACACCCTGTATAAAGTAATGCCTCATTTAAGGGCAACTTACAGATATATTAATTGGTCAGAACAGCACAGTGGTGATTAACTTTAAAGCACATTGAAGTATCTTCATTAGCCCATTAGGGGCTGAATTAATACATTTGCGAACATTTTGACATATTTTCTTTATTCCTGCTTGAGAGTATATTATGAACATCAGTTAATCGAGATACATTCCCTTTTGTCTGCCATTTTACAAAATGGCGGCAGTGCCATATATGGAACACTAGTCCCTCAACATGTGGACATATTGAGACTTGTTTCCAGCTGGAAATGTATTATATTTCCATAATACGAAAATGATTGAGACCTTGCATTTTCGACACTATGTGTGAACAGAGCTGCCTGATTGTGTCCTAGACATCGTCAGCGTTTATTATTCGGTACATGGTCGACATGGTGATTTCTACAGTCAATGCAAATATCTGGAGTTAATTTAGAATTTGTTGAATATATTGGTGGTCTTGCCGATGACTTCGTTGAATTGTGGAACTTCTCCAGGTGGGCTTTCTCTCTTGAAACTCACCTGATAAATTTCCTGGTGGAATGTAGCCAGGTGAAAATTGGTTAGCAAAATTCTTAACTTTTCATAGTGATAATGTAGACATTTATATTCGCGTCCATCTAGTCTGTTCCTCCTATGTACTCATTGTACTTTTGGATGCAGCGAGTCCATTCCATTTTTTGTGTGTTAGAGAAGAATAAACTATGGTCGATGCAACAGTTACAACTGAATTGTCCATCCATCTAGCTGCCACAATTGATGCATCACCGTAGAACATAAGGCGTAATCAAATTCACCAAGTTTTTTCTCTTCATTTATCATACTCAGTTATTGGACAATAACGAGAAATCCTATTTTCTTGCTCTGTGCCAGAACCATCATAGCGCCTTTGCATCAGGTGTTGAAGAAATTTCACAGAAGTGGATGAATTATCGGAATGAAACTTATATGACACACATGTTTTGTCTTCTGGTTGGTCATCAATAAGTTGAATGAATGTCTTGGGCTGACAAACTATGTGAACACATTCAGCATCCTACAAGCCTAGTGTTCCATATAAGGAACACGATGAAAAACACAAAATCTTATCAGATATAAAATATAATTTCCATTGTTTATTACAGACAACACAATAAGTATGTTATAAACTGTAAAACATCAGTTATTCACAGTCACATTTGAGATATTCGAGAAATATTTGTACTTACACTTCATGGCGCGAGATTTCACACGTTTACGGTAAAAACGATAGTCATCTAATAATCTGAATTGAGCTGGAGGTATTATCAAGTAGCTGAGTATGACTCAGTGGTAGATATAGGTGTTATAAGAGACAAAAATATTTGCCTGGGGAAAAATCTGCTATTGGGAATATATTTGGACGCGCTCAGAGCTTGTACAGTTATGTGTTCCTTATATGGAACGCTAGTATCTAATACATAACAGTTCACATCATTGATAAATTATGATATTTTCAGCAATTTTTTCATAATGATTCAGACATCATTGTAGTCAACAATAATAATTATATTTATTTCTCTAATTGAACAAATTATGCATGGTAATCAAGGGGAGAATGAAATCATTATAGAATGAAAAATAATCAATTTGAACTATTGAGCCTTACAAAGAAACATAAATAATAAGAATACATATATGTTATGTCCCTAGGAAGCATATCATAGAAACTACAACCATTCACATTTATCAAGTTACAAGACTGTATGTCTAATCTGATCTAATACCATAGGAAAACTCCGAAGACGAGAAGAAGAAAAAGCGTTCTTCGACCGGCAAGAAGCCCGTCGCCAAAAAGGCCAAGAAAGGCGACGACGAGTCCGGCAGTGAACAGAGCGAAGACGGGGATTCCGAAGAGGAGTACTCACCCAAGAAGGCCAAGCCGATCAAGACTCGCAAGCTGCCCCCCAAGAAGAAGAAGGGTTCGGAAAGCGATTCTGATGAGGATTGGGGCAAGAAAAAGGGAAAGAAAGGCGTAAGTTTTCTATTATTTGAAAAATAAATCAATTAAATGTAAAGGCTTATCAATATTTTGTCTTTACATAAAATTAAGTTAATTTTGCACCCATCATGCAATGTGTTTTTCAAATGCTATTTTCTGATAAATCAAATATTTTGAATCAGGAAACAGGAATTTTATAATTTGAATGTGAACAAACCACTACTCATCTTTGGAAAACAAATGAGCAATTTTTGAAGTCATTGAAGACTATATTGTAAGCCTATACAATGTGCTGGACTAACATTCAATCATTGATAATCATCAGAAAATAAAATAGTTAGATATTATACAAGGGAAAAAAGTAGTAGATTTTAGCTCCAGGTTGTGTTGTCTCCTGACGCGTAGCGGAGGGAGAAAATAAACCATGAGCTAAAATCTAATATTTTTCCCGTGTATAATACACTTATTTTTTTCTGTGACAAAAGAAAGGATGAATCAATATTGAGAAGATATTATATTATTTATTATAACTTTGTAAAAAAAAGATTCGTGCTTTTCCTCATAGCTAATCCTCAAACGATGCATTACCGACATTATAATAATTAGATATTGTAGGTCTCATGAATATTTTGAACGTTAGATAGAGATTCATGCGTTGGGGTATGCGACATAACCCCCTTCTACTCAAATGTTTCAACTTGCTCACCACGCTTATCGACTCCGCGCATGCGTCACACAAAACGAATCGGTGCATTCGAGGTACCTACTTGATAGATTGATTTCAGTGACCGGAAGACACGTACTGGTGCGAGTAATATCCTCCGTTTTTGTGAGTTTGTGAGTGATTAGCCATGGCTAAACAAAAATATTTGATTGGCGACGATCGTGCAATGTTCGTTATCTATGTTATATTCAATTTTCAGAATAAAATGTTATTTCAAAGTTAATCTACATTCATTTGAATTCATTCTTGCTCATAAGTACGATTTTCTAGTGGGGTAGCACTCCTACCCCGCGCCGGCTACTACGGAATTTCTATGGACCCCGTCACGGAAAGGTTAAAGCCGTTTTCTCATTAACAGTTTGAGTAAATTTCAACAAATAGGGTATTATTAGAAAGATAATTTTGTGCCCTTTCAAATGATATGGCACTGGACCCCACTTTGCATTAAAAATTTTACGGTTATAGGTTCATGGCACAGGCTGAAGAATACAGTGCCTAAAATAAGCATGAGCAGCATGGGGATCTCGGTTATCGTAAGAGTCAACGTCAAACGGTCAAAAAGTTGCGCAATGGAGGGGTCCATAAATAGATGTGAAATTACGAAAATATTCTCTACTTCCGGAGATCCAGGATTTGTTGAGCTGGTTTTTTTTTTTAGTTACTAGAAGAATTTCTAGGAAACCAAAGGCACCTTTTCGCATTGCCACTTTTATACCTATACAAAATGGTATTCACAAAAACCACAATATTTTAATTCGAAGAAACCATCATCAAATGATTGAAAGGAATATTCTCAGATTTTTTTCATTCTATTTTTTCAATTATTTATGTTAACATACATACATGTATCTACACACTTCATTTTATTGATATTCATATTATTTATAGGGTGGCGGTGGTGCTAAAAAGGGCGGCAGCGGCTACACCAAACAAATGACCCTGTCCCCCGAGCTGGCGGCGCTCGTCGGCCAAGAATCGATGGCGCGACACGAGGTGGTCAAGAAAGTATGGGCCATCATCAAGGAAAAGGACCTCTACGATCCCAAAAACAAGCAGTACGCCATCTGCGACGACGCCCTCATGAAGGTCATCGGTGTCAAACGTTTCAGAACGTTCGGTATGATGAAATATCTCAAAACTCATTTTATCAGCTAAGAAGGGTTCAATATTAATTAAGTGTAAATTGACTAGCGCTGTCGCGAGTCCACCTCGGAAAATCGTTCGTACATTTTTTCTTGTTTTTTTTTTCGTAGTCCAGTTTTTAGGCTGTGGGGCAGGGGTCTAGATGAATCTAGTCCTAGTAGAAAATGATCTCGTATTTCTCCATAGAGACTTTTAGGAACTACTGCTGGGAAATAATGAGAGGATCGCAAAAGTGCTGTGAAAAGTATGATGGCTGCCTATATAAATCAGTGTTGTTCAGAGACAACTCTCAAAACAGGGATCCTTTGTGCTACTATCGTGATGGGTAGTTTGTTGGTCACATTACAAACACTCCATCGTGACCGATTGAAAAGAGTAAAGTATATTCATTTTACCTTCCATTGCTTATCATGTTTCAAATATTAGGCTTTCAGAGTCACGGGGCTCTAAAATTTTGGGCAATGCCTGTCCATAAAAAATGAGAGTGAATTTGAAACCGCCTTATTTATAAAATTACAAGATTGGAAAACGCATCAGGAACATGTTTTCAAAGAATAGCCAAGAAAGCAAGTACTTGTATAAACCATATGAGTATTGAAAAATTATTTGTGGGAGCCTAGCGGAATTGACAAGAAAGAATCAGAAGCATGAATTATTGAGATGTACAATAATAGGGAGCCATTAAACTTTGATACTGGCGCAATACTCTAGTGAGTTATGAACAATAACTATAATAATTGCAATCATTCATCGGGCATTGACTTGAAAAAAATTATAGCTTGTAGGATGTGATCGTCAAAAATCACAAAAATCGACCTTTCCCAATATATTTCCAAAGTTTGCTGTATCGCTATCTCCTTGAAAACGTTTTTGGCAAGGATGACGTTCGCAAACTTCATAATATGACCTAATGACTTTCTCTTGAATTATGCATCGATCGTTAACTATTTGGTTGAGGATGTGAAATCGTGGATTGAAGTATTTCGAGAAAGTCACTTAGTTTTTAGGGTAGTTAGTAGTATTTTAGCAATTTCTACATAGAGAGATAGTGTAGGAAATCTTAAAAGCATGACCAATTGTTCTGCTACATTTCAGTAGAGATTTTATGCCCTTGAAGATTCTGATGATTCCTAGCCCTCCATTTGCTTTGGAGATGTCACGTGATGTCTCTTGTGATGGTAAGGTGACGTTAGATATTTCTGTTTTTTTGGAATCTGAAAGGTTGATTGAAAGCTCTATGAGTTTTCAGTGAATGATCATTACTTGGTTATTGTTCTTAACCAAATGAAAGTATAACAAACATAATTTCTTTTACCTCTGGATACAGGGTGACTGATTTGAGAATAAAAAGTCATGAATCAGACACACCTAACAACTGGACTACCACGGCGTTTTATAAGTTATTCAAAAGTAGTTTGGTGTTTATAGATTGCGCTAGTTTGAAACGATTTGAATATTGATAGAATTGAATTTGAAATATTTTCTATTATGAGAGGTATTCGAACTGACCATAGGTTTAAGTTTTACAAGTCTTTTTAAATCTAATGTAATATTTTTTTAAATGTAACGATATCACTATGATTTCTTTCGATTGTGTAAGTCGTGCACCTTGTAAATGTTTTGTCGGTTTGTATGATGGTATTCATACAAAAAATTTTATTCAATAAACATCCCCTGAAGTAATATTTTTGTTTTGTTATCTCCAAATCTATCTACCATAAGAACATCATTAATTTTTGGAGTGAATAAAGTACCAAGTACCATTTATCACCTTCTAGCACAAGTGATTTGGAAGTAATTAATGAATCAGTATTTGAAGTATTGAAAAGGGATATTCTCAGATATATTTATGAACACGAAAAAATTAATATACCGGGTGTTTCTCAAAAGTGGCTCATCCCTATAACTTTTTTGTTTATACAGATAAACAGATGAAATTTAGTGTGTAAGTAAAGTACATAAATATGCATTATTTGACGTATTCAGTTGTTTTCTGTCACTTCCGGTTTGACCGGAAATGACCCATATTATTTATATCAATAGAGAATGACATTGTGAGTATAACGATAGCCCAGTTGCAACTTTTTGACAATTATCAACGTGAAATTTCCATTTTTCAATTTTTAATCTAGAGTGCCATGAATGAGTTGAAACAGTTGACACTGCATCATGTTAATTAGGCAAAATAGTTTCCATGAAGTTTTACTTTCCATTTGTACAGGTACTTTCAAAATTTAGAATATCGTAATTATGACAACACAATTTTTTCAAATGGAACAAGGGTGGCTCATTACCATATCTGGAAGAGTATTTTGTTAAGAACACGTTGATACCACGTAATCGATATTTTGAATCATTATCCTGTATCACAATCACTAGATTGAAAATTGAAAAAATGAAACTTTCAGGATGATAAATCTCATAAAGTGGAAAATGCGGTGTCATTGTTCTCAAAATGTTATTCTCTATCGAAATAAGCAAGAATATACCGGGTGACCCATTTAAAATAAGAACAGACCAGAAAACAATTGAATACGTCAAATTATGCATATTTATGTACTATACTTACACACCGAATTTCATTTGTTTGTTTGAAGAAACAAAAGAGTTATAGGGGTGAGCCACTTTTGAGAAACACCCGGTATATATGAAGAAATACACTGAGAATTCGTATTCTCTATGTGATGAAAATATTAATTCTTTCTCGGTTTATTGGATAGCAAATGGCGTCAGTGTTTTTCCTCATACTAAATAAGAGACACCATGATTCAGTCATATACATTAATCGAAAGTATATGCCAACAATCCTAAACGCCAAACAATGGTGAATGAATGGAAATCACAAATTGTGGGGAAAACCGCTGAATCATTGCCAGAAAATTATTACAGTATATTTTGTAGTAGCTGTAAAAAATTGAGCGAAAAGTTTTTATTAACATGCCCGAAAGGTATTCGTTTCTGAGATCCGTGTTCCGAAATATGGGATCAAAAGGTGTTTTCGGAAACTTATTCTGGGTTAACTAGATCCAGAGAGGTCCCGTGACAAGACACTCGGATCACCAGTGACGGCTCGTCAGGGACGGCAGGGTCGGCCGGGCCGTACCAAATAATTTGGGGAAAATTACTGATCTATTTGATGAATAAAATTATTTTCCGAAACTGTTTTCATAATTCATGGTTCATTATCCTACTGTTATGCCACTATTATTTGAATTTCATTCACTGGAACCTTCGAGTATGCCATCCGCATATACTCCGAAAATCACGAACTAATTCAGGACCTACGACATCTGGTAATCCCATCGTCAAAACGCCGCTTTAAGTTGAAACGCTCGCGTAGCTCATTACACTGATGCAGACGGCCGGCCGATCGGTGGTTTCTTGTCTCGACGCATCGCCTACAGATTCCCCGCTTCAAGTTTGAATTCTCGCGTATACGCGAACGATATGCGTCATACCTTTGGTGCGGCCAAGCTCTGCTGGCCGTCCGTACGTACGTAATCAGTAGTTTGCAGTGTGGTCGCTGTGCACCGTATCCGACCATTCCGACCTAATTTTTAATATACGGATTGGCATGATTGACATTCTATTTTCATTTTACATTGTAGGTATTTATAATTTTTATTCCTATACTTATTTCTAAGTTGATGTTGAAATTTTAAATGTACAAACTGAAAAAAAAATAATTTCGATTTTCGATGTTCTTGTTCACGCTTGCAGTAGTTGCAGTAAAAATGACTGGTGATTTTTGAATTTGCAATTTTTCAGTAATTCAAAATTCAACATATCCATCTAATATTGGTATCAGAATTTTCCTTCAGTGCTTCTGAGCGTCAATAAGTTATAATTCAATTTGAATATTGTAATGTAACCTACTGTGCCTCTGCCTATGTAGGTAGGAAAAATGTCAGCAGTCCAAGAGCTGAGTAGGTATTGAAACATCGTGAAAAAGCTCTGGTGAAGAATATGTAATAAATGTATAACTTCCAGAACATCATTCATTTTCAAAGACGCATGTAGCGGTTATAAATAATATTTATGCATCCATCGCGGGAAACATATTATACCTACGGCTGCACGGCGGGCTCGGCCAGCCGACTACGAAGGAGTGGGGTGGCTTGTTACAGGAACGGCGTAGCGTAGACAGATTAGTCATTGTTGTGCTTTTCGCGTTAGGTGAGTGGTTGTCGGTTATGTTGATTTTTTTAGGTTTACGTTACGTTTTCAACAGAATATAAATATTTTTTGTCCACGAGTTACTTTATTTTCTTTTATTTTATATTTTCGACTTTCTTGTTATTATTTTTTCATACCAACTAACCCTTATCCACCTCCTTTTCCTTTCCCCATTTCCCCTGGCCAGAATGCTCTAACCTCCTCGTGGTTCTTGCTAGACAATTTAATTTTTTGGTTATGTGTACATGCTTATTTCAAGATTTCAAGATTTATTCAAAGATTTGATGATACAGTATAACAATTTTTTTTTTTTTTTCGTAGATTTTTTTTTCTCCTGTGAACATGAGCGAAAAACGCCTAGGCAACAGGCTGCCTGTTTTGCATTTCTCCCTCATGAAGCATGGGAGGGTTATCATGTTAAAATACATAACAAATGTTTTATTCTATGAACAAGAACAGTGCTTTTCTATACTTATGATTATTGGAAAGGGAAAGAGGAGAAGATGAGTGAAAGATTGAGATGGCATTTTTTTTTCAGAAAATTTTGAATACAGATGCATTGTGAAGCATAAATTGTTTGAGAGCAGTTTTGAAATGTTTTATTTCATTCGTGTTTTTTAAACATTCAGGCAGAAGGTTATACAGTTTTGGTCCAAAGTAGAAAACAAAACGTTGTGTATGGCTCTTTTTATATAGAGGAATTTGAATAATTTTATTCTCACTGGATCGGGTTATCCTCGAACTTTGCAATCTGAAATTATGAATATTTATGTACATCCAGATTAGGGACCGATAAGTGTATGAGAACCTTATGTCAAACACATTTGTTTCCTTATACAGTATCTCTGTTGAAAATAGTTTACGTTTTCTCGTTATTATTTTAAGTATCATGTTTTGTGCTGATTGTAGGCTCTTTATCGTATTATTGAAAGTACCGCCCCATGCTGTTATGCAATAATTTATTATTGACTCTACTAATGAATTGTATAAAATCATTAGATTTTTTCGAGAAAGAATATCTCTGAGAACATAGAACTTATGCATGAGTAGCCTCATTTTTTTTGTAATATATAAAATATGTTCATTCCACCTCATATACTGATCCAGAATGAGTCCTAGATATTTGATAGATTCGGTTTTCTCGATTTTAGAGCAGTTACAGTTTTCTCCATTTTTACAGCTAGGTTTGTGGATACTTATCTTTGATGTATCAGGTTGGTCAGTAGAAGTTGAAGAGAAAGTCATAAATTTAGTTTTTTCACATTGAGACTTAACAAATTGTTATTGAGCCACATATATATGTATTTCATGTTAGTTTCTGCTGTCTTATAAACATCTTTCCAGTTATCACCTTTGAATAATATTGCTGTGTCATCAGTATAACATATTAAATGCCCTTCAAAGCCATTTATTCGAGATATAATGTTGATGTACACAAGAAACAGTATCGGACCCAATACTGTACCCTGCGGCACACCAACAGTAATATACTGACCAGAACTAAGTTTTTCTCCAATTTTTACCTATTGTAGTCTGAGTGATAGGTAGTTTTTTATTAAATTCAATGCTATTCCTCGTATGCCATATTTATATAATTTGTTCAACAAGGCGTCATGTGATACGGTGTCGAATGCTTTTGCTAAATCCAAGAAGACGCCAAGGCATTTAGAAGATTTATCCATAGATTCTATAGTGATTTTGGTAAAATCTAATATTGCATTTTCAGTAGTAGATTTCTGTAGGAATCCATATTGACTGTCCGTTATCACATGATGCCTGTTGAAAAATCTAATGAGTCTTTTTTTTATCGCCTGTTCAAAAATCTTCGCAAAATTGTTGATAACAGATATAGGTCGATAATTATTCATTTGCGTTGAGTCTCCTGTTTTGAAAATGGGTGTTACTGTAGATAGTTTCCACTGATGAGGTATGGTTCCAGTTTTGAAACAATTATTGAGGATATGTACTAAAGGTTTGGTGATATATGAGTGGATATGTTTTATTAATTTTGTATTTAGTCCATCCGGGCCGGGGGCACAGTTATTTTTAAGGTTGGAGATTAACATAATCAATTCTTTTTCATTTGTGGGTTCAAAAAATATGGAAGATTTTACGGAAGGGTCGTTCAAAAAGTTGTTTGGTAAATTACTGTGCTCAATATTTTCAGCCATTTTATTTCCAATATTTATGAAAAAATTATTGAATGAATTTGCCTTTTTATCATTTTCTTTCATTGTTTCTCCATTTTCATCTGAGATTGTAGTATTTTCTAATTTATTTTTCTTCTGTTTATTTGTAATGATGTCATTTATAATTCCCAAAGTTTTTTTGCAATTTCCTTTAACTTCATTTGCCATCGAACTTCACTTAAGCCTTTGACCCAACGTGTTACGTTCGCATTTCTCTCTTTTATTTTAATCCAAAAAATTAAGTTGGCGAACTAGAGCAATATCTATAAACTGGCCGACCCAGGTTCTGAGGGCACGAGCCGTCACTGCGGATCA